TTCTAGGATACCAAAAAAGCAACAATTGACACAGATCATAAAATCACTTCACATCTTCTCCACTTCTGTCCTCTCAGAGGAGAACTTCTCTTCGTAATAAATAGCTGATACACTCCCTTCAATTCCCCAAGCTTCTATAGGAAGCTTGGATATCTGCTTGAGGTTTTTTAGACATCCTTTAGATACATCAGAACACTTCACTATTAAAGTATTTTTGTCTACATGCTTTCTTTGCCCCCTCAAAATGTACAAAGGAAGATAATGATGATTATCACTTATATGTACACAGAGAGTTTATGCACTTGAGACAAATACCTTGTGTGTACCCACTTGGCCAATAAAGAATTCTAATTCTAATAATAATTTGGAAAATTGGGGATAATTAGAAAGTGCAGGTTATTTAACAGTATTAAGTATTTAGTATTTAAGTATTTAATAAATTTATAGGCTGCCCAATCCCGAAGGACTCCGGGCAGCTTAAGAAATACATTTCCAAAAATAAAGAATTAAAAATAACAGAATGACTTGTTACTAGGGTGGTATCTTATGAAGTTAGTCTCTTTTCTATATCACAATTTTTATGTCACTGGGTTTGATCTTAAGGCCTATGAACAACGGCAGCTAAAATATTTGCCTCAATTCAGATTATAAGCTTTTTGGCTCTGAAGGACCTTACATCATGTACCTGTGTAACTTGGTAGTACAGTGTTTAGACATAACAACACCAATCTTTTTCCCTGGCTCAGCCACTAGTAAGGCTGACAGGGTGTAAGCAAGAATAGCATTCAAATACTCCTACGGGATATGTATATTCTGTCAGATAAATGGCTTTTTGGAATGTCAAATAGGATCTTGAGCAGCTGTTCTGTAAGAAACTTGCAACAAAGCAAGTGAAAATAAATTAACTATTTACTTCATTTTTCCCCACTGTGTCATTCTCACTGAGTAATTTATGTTCTAAAGTGATCAAAGGGACAGCCTGTTAATTAATGTGGGTGAGAAAGAAAATAAAAAAAATTGCATGCCTAAGTTTTCTCTTCAGTGGTTGCTGACGAAGAGTTAGGAGAGTTACTTACTAATGAAACAGTTTTAGATACAGTTTTGCTTCAAGTGTTGACAGAGTTAGAATAGACTGGAATTCTTGCTCTATAACATTATTTTTGATATTAAAATTATGTCAATTCAGTTCTAGTACAAGTTTATAAAATGTAATATATAGAAATGTAAAATATTGCCATAATACAGTGGTTTAAAATAAGTTACATTAATAATGTATTAATGCTAATTCTATTAGAATGAAAGTTTAAGGCATGGCAGTTGAATGTTGAATGGTGCAACATTCTTATAGTGGTAACTTGCAAAAGATCTCCCTAAGGACAGAGGAGCCACAAGTTTGGACTAGAGCAAACTCTCTGAGTAGAATCTCACCTGACATCTCCAGATAGGGCTCAGAAAAACACCTAGCCAATCAACATAGACAATATTGAACTTTGGATTGATGATTCATTGATATCATGTCACAATGTACACTCAACACCACTGTTATCATTCCCTCATCCTTCAGTATAGAATAGCAGTTTAGCCTCATGTTAAAATCATAAACTAAGATCAACCTTTACAAACTAAGATTTGGAACTGGGCAAGTAAATCAACTATGAAAATTATGATTTTATAATACAACTAGCTGATAACCTGGTGTTGTCCAGGTATTGATTTATAAGGGAGAAATGTCCAGACCAAACGTAATTTCTAATGTTGGATTTTCTCCCTTACCAGAGGGAGCCCACTTATGGAGTACTGTGAAGCCATTACCATGGCAACTCCACTGTGCTGTACAGTAGAAGCCATTTTGTGGCAGTACAGTAGAAGCCATTTGAAAGCACAACAGGTTGTATCCTAACAGAACACACATCCCGAGGAGTGTTAGGGGTGTCTTACCCTCACGGTATTTGTTTCCAGAGAGTAAGCCATCTGTGTACCAAGTTTGGTTGAAATTGCTTGAGTCGCTCCAGAGTTATGCTGGAGAACACACACACACACACACACACAC